AAGAGTCAGTTGAAATCAGTTAGTTGAGTTTCTGTCAAATTACCCAGAAATATATGCAGTAATGATCAAGGAGCCATCTGCTTATCCTGTGTGTTATGTGGATATATGTTCATGATATCCTTATGTTTTCATTTGTGTGTTGAATTTATGGAGTTTCACTGGGAGTGGAGCTTCCATTAGCAATCAGATTTATTTTTTTCTCATTTTTCTAAACCCTTTCTCGTTAACATGTACTCAGGTGGGAGCAAAGACAGCCTCACCAAAATCAAATTTTGTTTGCATCTTTTATAATTTGCTTGTTTTTAAATTGTTAGAAGTTTGTACTCAATTTATAGATCATTCGTATTCAGTTTTGTTTACAAGGTTACCCTTTTTCTATTGGAATTTATGTGTTTTAAACCGTTGAGATGTTTGTTTTCTTGATTAAAACAATGTAAGAAACTAGCTGTGAAGAAAAAGCTATATTTATCATATGAACAGTTTGTTACCCTTATTTCAATCACAGTGGAGACCAACTCTATTCTATTTACATTTTGTTTCCATTATTTCAATCACAAAGGAGACCAACTCTATTTATCCTACTAAAATTTTGTTTCCCTTATTTCAGTTACAATGGAAACTAACCTTGGAGTATAAGTTGTTCATCCTTTCAAATTAATACTTACTGAATAATAAAAATAACACTCTAAGTTGCCATTTTTTTTAAAAGGAGAATTACAGCAGAAACTACTTCCAGATATTAGCTCCTATGCCTGAGTCAATTTCAAGAAAATTGCGCTTGAATATTGATGTCTCAGAAACATTACAATTTGGCAAACGAAAATTGTGCAGTTGCATGAAAAGTAGTACTTCATTTTGATCTGTCTGGAGTAGGAATTCACATGCATGCCTTCTGTCATATTTGTGAAATGACAAAAACAAATCTGAAAATGCTTTGTAGTAATAATCGCCTAAATTGTGGTTAGGTGACTTTGGCACAGTACCGGTATTTTATTTTATTAGAATTTATCATTTGCCTTAAGCCCTGAGAACATTCGGAATTTCTCATTGTCGTAAACATTTTTCATACTAGTATTACTAGAGAGCATAAAGTTGAGCAGACATTGTGGGTTGATAAAACACTTGCAGCTACATAAACATTAGCACTGGGGCACTAAACATTAATGTAAAACAGTGCAGGTACATCAACTTTAGCACTAAACATTAATGTGAAACACGGTACAGGTACATCAACTTTAGCAGTAAACATTAATGTGAAACATGGTACTGGTACATCAACTTTAGCAGTAAACATTAATGTGAAACATGGTACAGGTATATCAACTTTAGCACTAAACATTAATGTGAAACATGGTACAGGTACATCAACTTTGGCAGTAAACATTAATGTGAAACACGGTGCAGGTACATCAACTTTAGCAGTAAACATTAATGTGAAACATGGTACTGGTACATCAACTTTAGCAGTAAACATTAATGTGAAACATGGTACAGGTATATCAACTTTAGCACTAAACATTAATGTGAAATACAGTACATCAACTTTAGCACTAAACATTAATGTGAAACATGGTACAGGTATATCAACTTTAGCAGTAAACATTAATGTGAAACATGGTACAGGTACATCAACTTTAGCACTAAACATTAATGTGAAACATGGTACTGGTACATCAACTTTTGCACTAAACATTAATGTGAAACATGGTACAGGTACTTCAACTTTAGCAGTAAACATTAATGTGAAACATTGTACTGGTACATCAACTTTAGCACTAAACATTAATGTGAAACACGGTTCAGGTACATCAACTTTAGCACTAAACATTGTTACCCATCTGTCACGCAATGTTACTCGTACTTTCTTCCCATTTTAAACAGCTAAATGTAAGCATGTTTTATCTATATATCACCCTAGCCACGCTTGACTCCATGTCGTATGGACACTTTGTGCTTTCCCCCCTTTTTTCTGATTTATGTAAATGGATGTGTGGGTTATTAGATATCTATATATTATATCTTTATAAATATACATCTTATATACAGTCTTTAGTATTTTTGTTTCCTTCATCGCTATCACTTCAACTATCATTTTGTACATTATAGAGAATATATTTTTGAACTTGAATTTTTAAAAACAAAACAAAAAACATTTTCTCTTGAGAATAAAAGAGTCTGTGTGTACAGTATTTTGAGGCGCTTAGCGCAGTAGATTGTTCATTGTTGACATATTGATGCCATTTGTAAATTTTTGGTAGTCATCTCTGACATGTCTGTCAGTTGTAAAGTAAACAGCTTTAGTTTTTGTCTGGATGGTACCTCAGTGAACTGTTTTCTGCACTTAGCTATCATCATCACCTACAGCACTGTGAACATTCCCATAGGCACTCAGTCCCTATCTTCAGCAGCCAGCGAAGGGTTCAAGTACTGATGGTGCCGGCGGCAAATTTAATATACTGCTTGTTTCAGTCAGTGGAAATTATCAGTATATTAAATTCTTGGGTATGAAAGTGCACGAGACAGGCGAGCTGGCGAGAGACCACGAGACAGGCGAGCTGGCGAGAGACCACGAGACAGGTGGGCTGGCGAGAGACCACGAGATAGGCGGGCTGGCGAGAGACCACGAGACAGGCGAGCTGGCAAGAGACCAAGTTTTGTTCAGGCAGATATGCAACCTATTGGATGACACATCAGTAAAAAACTATTGGATATTAAACACACACATGCAGGAACTAGTTGCAGGACAAAGATAAGCCAGTTATCTCTAACTGGGTACGGTGAGCTACGAGCACTGAGAGAAGCCAGTTATTTCTGATCAGGTACTTTGAGCTATGAGGCACTGAGAGAAGCCAGTTATCTCCAACTGGATATGGTGAGCTACGAGGTACTGAAAGGGAAGCAGCATCGCAATCTGGAGCACAAATGGTACGGTGAGCTACAAGGCTGTTGATACAGGAGCCACTTAATCTCTAACCATGGGAATTATTCGGTGAGCATTTGAGCGGAGCCAAAGATCTAGAATGCAGAAGCCTGTTATTTCTGATTAGGTACTTTAGGCAGCTACCCATCAAGCACAGGCAAGGACCTCCCAACATAACAAAATCTGATTAAAAAGAGGACAGAAAAACCCAGGGCACTGTTAACAAGAACTGGAGAGCTACGAAAATCTACATGAAATCATTAAGGAAATAATGAAAGAAACATCGCAAGAACTTGAGGAAAAAAGCATCTAACCATGGTTTTCTAAGAAAGAAACAACTGTTTTTTTTTTTATATAAATCATAAAGTCAAATAATGAAAGAAACAATCACCAGGAGCCAAAGGAGTGTTCTAGCTGATGGCGGTGTTTTGTCTTGCAATGTCTTTTTATTTGGTGGATGTTGGACACGGCACAACAGAGATCACTCTCCAAGTCAAGCTGGCGGCACCATTTTCTTTTCATGACTTTACTCCCAGAGGGTTTAGCATCCCAGGCCCAAGGGGTAGTCAAGAGAGACGTAAAATCAGCGCATCTTGTGTTTACTGCTCTTCAAGGTAGGAACCTATGATCGTATGATGCGCTCCGTGGGACTCAAAAAGCTGAAATTGCAGATTGCAAGTACAGATGCACTTAATTTCAAAACTGCTGGATGTCCCCCTCGAAACTTTCTGGCAAGGAGACCAACAAGCTAATGCAAAGAGAACGGCTGGCCGCACTGTCTGGCATATCGTCGTCACTTACACATGAAGTGATCTTATTTGTTTGTTGCTGAGGTGGAAAACAGTTCATGCAGGTACCCACACAACTATGCATGTGAGGGAAAACTAAACATACATACAAGTATGGCTAATGTAAAATTGTAAAGCAATCACATCACCCCAAAAAGACTGTACATTTGAGAAAGATGAATATTTTTTACGATAACACCTGTGAATACGTCAGTTTCATTAGAGCCATCCATCAATATCATCACACTATTGGCTATACGTGTGTTGTTTTAACTAATTGTCAGCTGATTTATTATGATGGTTATAACATAATTTTTTTCTATATATTTTTTCTTTGTATTCTTTTGCCGTTCATGTAATTAAAGGTAACGTGTTATTTGATAGTGATAATAAAGGATTTCAAAATCAGACTTTGAAAAAAAAAAAAATTTCACTTGTGTTGTTTTCCTTTCAACTCAGCTTGTATTTGTATCTGTATTCTCCTTCTCCTACTCCCCCCCCCCCCCCCCCCCCCCCCCATACATTTATATGCTCTTGTCTGTTTCATCCACAGATTAATTTGTTTATATCTTCTTTCTCAAAATGCACATCTATTTGAGAAATAGCTTCTCCTTCTATGAAAAGGTCAGTGTCTGTGGCAAAGGCATTGTGAGTGTACTCCATAATGCCGGGGTGCCAAGTTCAATCCCAGCTGCAGGTGATTTGGCAGAAGAACGTCTTGCATTGCTTTCAACAGGGGTACTAAGAGCTGACCGTTTAGAAAGCAAAGACAAACTACCTGAACGTAAAAACTTTGCCTAGAAAAACCCCAACAGCCACACACACACAAAATGGACGCATAATACTGGCACCATTGGTATTGGAACTCTGCACTGGCTGCTGAAGATGGGGATAGAGTGCTTATGGGAATGCCCCAAGTGCTTTGATGTCAGTTATTGAATCCACTCAACTCCACCCACATTCGTTCATTTGTACAAAACGTAGTTCTCCCTCTTTACATATATATATAGCCAGCATTATAAAAAGAACCAAAGACTCATATTTACACTGTTTATTTATGTTTAAAAAAAAGAAAACATTTTTCTGAACGCATACACCAAACAGTTCCACTTCACTTTTCTGAGCACATACACCAAACAGTTCCACTTCACAATCACAAGGGACAATGCAGTGACTCCGATCATCAACACCTTTATAGACACAACATAACTGATGATGCAACACTTCAGTTGGCCCAGTTATCACCATTTATGTTTTGTTGAGCGAGACCACAAGGGGTAACACCATCGCAGTCATTTCTCACGAAGTCTTTTAATAAAAGTCACAGAGTCCCGATTTCGAATTCCATAACTTGAAAAGAAAAAAAAAATAATTTATAAACTGATAAACTGTTTAAAATCATGGTATTAAAATTTAATACAGTACAACAGTCGACTTGGGAACAATGATATCAGGAAGAGAGTCAGCACAGAACCCAATACTGAACTTTATCGGTAGACAACAGATCAAATGGTTTGGCCATGTAACAAGATTGGCAACAGACAGGGCACCATAAAGAGCAATTTTATACAGATACAGAGTTAGAGCCTGAGGTTGACCACACAGAACATGAACCGCAGAAATATCAGAGACAATGAAAATTACTTTATACATAAGGAACAGAAGGCCCGTTCCAAAGATCTCTGCCTGACGCTACGAGGCGTTCCAGGAGAAGAGAAAAGAAGAAGAAGAAGAAAAAAGTAAGTAACAGACCCTTAGTAGCGGGTCTGGAATACTAGGCTCATTTTCATAGACCAATCAGCTCAAACTGGGCGATATGGTCAACGCTGACTGCCTTTACTTCCCAGGAGATTAACTGTTCCCATTTTGCAATTATTTCAGAATTTGGCCAATACCGACATGCACCCTAGAGTATGTGATAGAATTTATAGCAAAAATTATTTTGGCTCCCAGGTCGACCCAGCCTTGAGTGGGTACCAGGTGCACTCCTGGGAAGTAGAGGCGGCCAGCGTGATGCTGACTACATCACCCATCTTGTGCCGTTGGTCTATAAAATATAGGTCTAGCCCTATATGCCCTATACGCCTAAAGGCGTGGAAAAGGGACCTTTACTTTTATAGAAAATGTGCTGTAGACAGGCAACTTCTGCAGGCCTGAAAACCTGTATATAACCTTATCTAGGATTTGAACCATGGTCTCCTGTATGGGAGCCACTATTCTCAATCAGTGGCCAAATAAAAGTAAAAGACCTTTTTCCACGCCTTTAGGCGTACAGGGCAAATAGGGCTAGACCTATAAGTGGCCAAATGCTGTGTCAATAATCCTTAATGTGACAAGATGAGGTTTAATTATGAAAAGAGCATAATTGGAGAAACAACTTCATTAGCCCAAATTTCAACAGACAATGGTTGTAGAAAGCACAAAATGGGACAGGGTAATGAATACCAGCATTAGAGAGAAAGCTGGAATAAGACAGTGTCGGAGTTATACTGACAAGCAAAGAATGTAATGATCTGCATATGATTTTTTTTTTTTTAAACAACAGAACATCTGGGAGGAAGATGAAGTAAAACCAAGAAAGAGATGGATAAATGGTGGGGCTGAATCCTGTTTAAAAAAAAAATCACCCAAGCCAACTCGAGAAGTGTAAGACAAATACAGAAAATACACAACACTGGGCTACAACCAGGTATTGATGAGACGACAAAAGAAAGAAGAATGGTTTTAGAAGAGATAATTATGAACAGAACCAGTAAACACAACATAAAAATACAAGACCTCAATTATAACCATGTAGCCTTAGCTTTTTGAGAGAACTAAACAGGCTCCAGTGGACCAAGAGGTGAGGAAAAGACGCTGGCCTTGGATAGGACATACTGAGAAAACAACATAACTAGAATGTCTTTGCATTGGAACCCACAGGAGCATAGGAATAAAGAAAGGCCAAAAAACACATGGAGAAGAAAGCGGGGGAATAAAAGATGGGGAGAGCTCCATGCAATGGCGAAGGATAGAACAACTTGGTGTGATTTGGTTGAGGGCCTATGCTCCATTGGGGGATAGAAAGGCAGAAGAAGAAGAAGAAGAAGCCTTATCAGCAGTCCTCACCTTTTCAGTTTCTTATTGTCATCTGCCAGCTTTTCACCATTAAAGCTTAGCCAATAGCGTTTCCATATGTACCTCCTTAAAAAAATAAAAAGAGAACATTTGGAAAACCAAACAAGATATTTAACAAAATCCTGTTTTCCTGCAACTATCACATATTTGGTATGAACTGTGTGATGACCCTGCTTAGTGTAGTCTCCACGCCGACAGTAAGTCGAGCAAAAAATCTGTGCAACAAACGACTCCACAAGATAATTGGGGCTGGGACGGTTAACGAAGGAAAGCCCAAAGCTGACTCGAGGTCAGTTGCGTACCAGAGCTTGAAGAAAGATGGTTGCACTATATAGTTTGACTGAACTGTACTAAACGTCGTGTGAATGATTATGGTAGAATTCATGGAGATGATAGCGATACTTGAATAACTGTGGCTGAGAAATGTAAGAATCAGGAAGAATAAACTAGCAGGATGTGTCTTTGGAAACTGACTGCTGTTCTGCATTATCAATTGAAAAAAGTTGTGTCTGTTCTCTAGCGAGCTAGCAAAATTACAAGAAGGAGATTTCTTACAAGTTAAATTAAAAACCAAAATCACAGCACTGAGAACATTCACATATATGCTCCGTCTTCATCTTCAGCAGCCAGCAGAGAGTAACAATGCTGATAGTACCAGTAGCAGTTTGATTATGTTCGTCTTGCTTCTCCTCTGAGTTTAGAGTGTCAGCCAGTCCCTCTAGTCACACTCCACTGCACTTGACACTGTGTGGATCTGTTTGTGCTTCTACATAGTTCACTTGCACCCAAAAGGTCTTGACCACATTTTTCTTCTTGACATTTACCAGATGTAAACTCCGGTGGAAAATTATGGTTGTTCATCCACCTCTGGACTCTAGTCCTCTTCCAGAACATGAGTTTTGTGGCACATCCATTTGACATATCTGACATTTATTTGCAGACTGTTGGTTCCTTGCCTCTCAGGCAGATGCACTCTGTCTTCGACGGAAGCACCCCAGTTATTCGACTTTTACAACATACTTGGGTGGGGTGGGGGGGGGGGGGGGGGGGGAGTGAGTCTATTCTCATTTCCCCCAAAACGGGGCTTGTCAAGCATCAATTCAAAACCCTACCCAGTGGTGCAGCACCAGCCAATATGTCTGACCTTTCATTTCCAACATACCCGCATGTCCTGGAGAAACAAAAAATTTAAAGGATGCTAACTCTCAGGGACCTCAGAAGCGATCGTTGCCACTCTGTAAGAAGTGTGCCTTTCTCTACCTTTGTAAACAAGCTCTGTGAAACATATAATGGGTATATGATGCCTGGCCTACGTGTCGTTACCTAAACTCTTATCAATGTCAGTATCCTACTGGCTGTACCCGAGAAAGTTACTTGTCCATATCGACATCTATCAGCCTCACCCATTCCTGCTATCCACCGTTGCAGCCACCACCTCAGTGTCTCTATGCCCACTGTACACAGTAGTAGCTGACTGGCACATCTTTTTTCTTTACCCCACAACCAGTTTCTGCACACTTGTCCCTGTTTAATACCCATTTCCAACAGCCGGTTCATACAGCCTGACTCCTATGTCTCAAAAGTCTCTAGAGTGCAGCACATTCAGTACGTCTACTATGTCCATACTTCTTCCTACACTAACCACTGCAGACATCCTTTGGATGTTTTCTCCAGGTGATGCTGGTGTGTTGGGGAATCAGCAGTTAGATAGACTGGCCGGTTCTGCACCGCTTGGTGATGAACTGATGTATGACAAGCTGAATGTTGTGAGGGCTCTTTGGGAGCAATTAAACAGTGCAGAGACATAGACATATCATTATGGTCTGCAGAGAATTACAAGGAGTTACAATGGGATCTGGCTGGCACTCAACACTCAGGGGAAGAGCGAGACGGATACAAATTAGACAGTCACTGGTGCCATCGGAATTTGAACTCTTTGCTTGCTGCTGAAGATAGGGACAGAGTGCTTATGGGGGCACCACGATTGCTGTGATGTCGATTCTTAATTCAACATTCAACACTAACCACTGCAGAGATAGTTAGTCTGTCGGGTCTTTTATATTTTTTTTATCCTCATCGCACCCTCCCTAATATGTACTGCCAAAACAGTTTTATGAGGTGGGACTTCTGGGTGCTGTCAACCCACTCTAGGCAGAGTTTGCCAGTTCTCTAAGAAGGTTAGTCAGGCCAACAAATATACAGCCACCACACACACACAAAAAATATTAAAATATTGGATGACTCGGTTGTAAGGCACAAATATAGTGCCTCTGCTTTAAATGGCCACAATGCAATTATATCAAATTTACCCCTGTGTGGGTTCCGGGGCCCTATTGTGGGGAAAACAAGAATAGACCCACTGCCTCCCCAAAAGCATGTCGTAAGAGTCGACTAACTGGGGAGCTTCCTTTGAAGTCGGAGTGCATCTGCCTGAGAGGCAAGGAACCAGCAGTCTGCATTCAATTGAATCAGATCTGTAAAACTGATGCACACGCAACACTCAGGTTCTGGAACAGGACTGCAGTCCAGAAGTGGACGAACAACCAGAACTTTACACCAGAGTTTACAGCTGGTGAACGCGAAGAAGAAGAAGATATCAAATTTAAAAAAATTTCTAAACAAAATACTGGATGAATGAAGAATAAAACCTGCTGCCTTACCTGCAAGGATAACTTAACTGGGTCCCTAACTATCAAAATACATTTCTGAACAAGGCCCTAGCATGGGCTATGTTCAAGGTGTCTTGATTCCCTCTGCTATTCCACTAATCTGGCTTCTTTTTTTATATTTTTTTTCCAGCAATGATAAGTTTATTGCAATCAAACCAGATGCAACATTACAAACAAAGTATGCCATCAAATGACTCCAGGGATAATGCAGGTAACAGTTTACATCTTGAGCTTAGTACGTCTCCAGTGACGCCTCTTAGCACTGTATCTGATTGTGTTTCCTGTCGTCATACGAACCCACTGGGGGATGGGTCTGTTTTGCTTCATCTCGCGAGCAAGCTTGGTCTTAATTTTAAAGGTTTTGTGAGCTCCCATTTTCACCTCCACTCTGTTACAAGGATTGTGAGAAAAGGACTAATCTGGTTTCTGCTTACCTAAATGTCTATGCTGCATCAGGTGGGCTGTCTGTAGTTCAAAGTCGACTGTCCCTTATTACAAGACCAAACCATCTAAATGTTTTTCAGTTAAAATCATTGTTGACATGGTGTTAATAATTCCGGACACTAAGTGAGTCATAAAATCCCAGTGTGGGGAAACAAAAAATGGATCCACTGCCTCCCTAAGAGTCTACTAATTAGGGGTTTCCTTCAAAGTCGGAGTGCATCTGCATGAGAGGCAAGGAATCAACAGTCTGCACACAAATATGCAATGTAAAATGGATGTTCACCCAAAAATCAAGTTCTGAAACAAGACTAAAATCCAGAAGTGGACAAACAACCAGAACTTTCAGCCGGGGTTTAAAGACAGGGTTGCCCGGCTCTCTAGATTAGTTAGCTAAATCTGACATTGCGGTGACCGGGTGATGAACTCCTTGTGGTCCGCGTTCACTCTCGGGGGTAGGCAGAAAAGCCACATTTCTCAGAGATTTACGGTACCTATGATGGAATCAAGGCTGAAGGGTTGCGATATATATAGTACCGAGCCAAAGGGTTAACAACTCATGGTTTCTAGATATATATATTAAAAAAAAAAAAAAAATACAGACAGGAAAAGTGAAAAAGAAAAATAGTAATAAAAAATTTACCAGCTGATGTGAGTGCTGCCCCCTGTTCTCATCTGTCGAAGTGTGAAATGGCGTTTTATGGCATGCTTGAGATCAATGACTCTTGCTTTCTGAGTAACTACTATTGCTGAAGGATTAAAAAACATAGTCATGGAACCATTAATTTACAATCCCACTGTGGCATTTACATTCACATAGAGCTCCCAGTTGATTCCACTCTTCTTCTTCTTGTCTTTACTCCTGGAATGCCTCACAGCATCAGGGTAAGAAGAAATCTCTGGAACGGGCCCTTCTGCTCGCTTTGTATATAATTCTTTTGAGTCTCTGATATTTCTGCGGTCCATCTCCACATCTCTGAGGCCTCAAGAAATTGTTTGGCTTGCCTACCGATTGTCCAGGATTCACAGCATGAAGAATATAGATCTATATATTTTTATATTTGAAATTGAAGACGGCATGGCTAGATCACTTTGTTAGAATGCAGCCAGAACAACTACCGCCACAGGTGCTACCATGAAAACCTCTGTTGTGAAAGCAATAGGTCACCCTAGGAGAATACGTACGGATGATATTAAAAAGTTTCTACCTCGGAATTCGAACGCTTTAAAATTCAAACAACCTGGAATTTGAATGCAATTTTCAAATAAATTTTAACTTGGAATTTTAACGCCACCCTGGAAACCAAAACGCCTGGCACGTGCCAGCCCTGTGCTACAGTGCTGCCTACGCTTCAGTTTGTTTTCATGCACTGTGCTGAACGTGTCGCATCTTGTGACCTCATGCGATTTTAACAGCTAATTTTATAAATTTAATGCTTGTTTAAATTTTTTTATAAAATAGCAAATTAGTTATGGTTAGTTTGTTAGTTTATCTTCTTAAGCCTAAGGCGGGGCATAAGGAAGAGGTCACAGGTCATTAACAGCCATGTCTAGCGGTTCCTTGCCACTTGTTTTAGGTCTTGGATGTTCATTGGGCTGAAGATTGAGCCTTTATTGATAATGGTTCAATGCAGGATCTCTCTTGATCTTCCCCGCTTTCTTTTCCCTTCCTGTGTCCATTTGAGGGTTTGATGGTGGAGTCTGGTCTTATCCATTCTGAGCGCATGGCTGATGTAGTTCCAGCAGCGCTTTGTTATAAAATTTGACACATTATCTTGCTTGGTCTCTTGTCTTATTTGTGCACTAAATGTGAAATCTGTCCAGTGGGGATTTGGTATTCTTCTAAGACATCCGTTTTCAAACCTGCCAATATTTTTAAAATCTAGAGCTACCGCTGCCTTTCAGCTCCGGCATCCATAAGGTAGCACTGGAATCACACAAGAGTTGCAGATCAGAAGTTATGTGTTTGTTGAATGTTTTGACTTCCAGATGTTTGACAGTTATGGCTGGTAACAAGAAAAACAAAGCAAGAGAAAAGCTGTTACAGCAGCAGTTCTCAACTTGCGGGTCGCTACCCTTTTCTGATCGAACAATCCTCTCACAGGGGTCGCCTAAGACCATTGAAAAAAAAACATATTCATGGAAACTATGATATCCATAATACCGAGCCTAAGGGTTAACAAAGAAACACATCATGGCTTCTGGATACTAAAAAAAAAAAATATCTTTAAACTCCTTCAAATATGATGACTGAAGCTGCATGAAGAAGAGGTGTCAAGGTGTTCACAGCTGCATATAATACTACAGCATTCATAAACACCATAATTCCCTCTACACCACTCTCCTCTTTTGGTGTATGCCTTGTATACCAAGGCTTTCTCTCCAAGTGGGCAAACCATTTTACTTTTGGTTAGAAAACTGGACTGAGTCAGTAAAATGTATGTATGTGTGTGCACGTGCATGTTATGTTGAGAGAGAAATGTTATGTACAGAAGGGGTTAGGAATGCAACACTTACGAACAATTTCGCCGTCCATTCGCCGTACGTTGACCACCATTGCTTGACCATATTCTAAAGCTATCATGGAGTTCACTTCCTCCAAGGTTACATGAGGGTCAAGGTCATGAAGTAAAGGGTCATTCTGAAAAATGCAAAAGAGACGATAAAATTCACAGACGTGAGAAAATTTACTGACCTTTAAAACAATTTCTGTAAAAGGTGGTGTCGGTGATTTCAATAATAAACATCAGAAGGAGTTTGGACAGGGCTGATGCAAGCAATGCAGTGGCCAGTCACCCGAAGAAAAGTGAAAAATCTGTGACACAAGCTCTTTGTTCAACTACCTGACCCTGGAGTGAAGCCAGAGCAAACACATTAATCCCCTTTTAAAGGTCAAGAAAGGAGATACAGTGGCACCTCAGAATATGAACACCTCAAAACTCAAAAAACTTAGAATTCGAACGAAAAAATTCCTTATGAAGCACCAGACAAATTTAATTATGAAACACCAGACAAAAATCCTTAAAAGAACCAGCCAAATTTCCTTATGAAACACCAGACAAAATTCCTTATGAAACACCAGACAAATTTCCTTATGAAACACCAGTCAAATTTCCTTATGAAACACCAGACAAATTACCTTATGAAACACCAGACAAAAATCCTTATGAAACAGCAGACAAATTTCCTTATGAAACACCAGACAAATTTCCTTATGAAACAGCAGACAAATTTCCTTATGAAACAGCAGACAAATTTCCTTATGAAACAGCAGACAAATTTCCTTATGAAACAGCAGACAAAAATCATTATGAAACACCGGACAAAAATCTTTATGAAACACCGACAAAAATCTTTATAAAACACCAGACAAAAATCTTTATGAAACACCAGACAAAAATGTTTATGAAACACCGGACAAGATTCTTTATGAAACACCAGACAAAAATCTTTATGAAACACCAGACAAAATTCTTTATGAAACACCAGACAAAAATCTTTATGAAACACCAGACAAAAATCTTTATGAAACACCAGACAAAAATCTTTATGAAACACCAGACACAAATCTTTATGAAACACCAGACAAAAATCTTTATGAAACACAAAACAAAAATCTCAATGAAACACCAGACAAAAATTTTTATGAAACACCAGACAAAAATCTTTATGAAACACCAGACAAAAATCTTTATGAAACACCAGACAAAAATCTTTATGAAACACCAGACAAAAATCTTTATGAAACACCAGACAAAAATCTTTATGAAACACCAGACAAAAATCTTTATGAAACACCAGACAAAAATCTTTATGAAACACCAGACAAAAATCTTTATGAAACATCAGACAAAATCTTTATGAAACACCAGACAAAAATCTTTATGAAACACCAGACAAAAATCTTTATGAAACACCAGACAAAAATCTTTATGAAACACCGGACAAGATTCTTTATGAAACATCGGGAGGAGTTCACTGACCATAATGAGGCCAGTGATCATGTCTTGGGCAGTGCTCATGGCCTCAGAATGTGTGAATGTAGGAATCTCTTCTCTCCCCTTCTTAGCACTGGTCATTCTCTCCGCTTCAGGTTTTTCATCCATGTTAGCCTCTACAGTGGTCATTGCTGATCTGCAAGACAGACGAAAAAGAGATGTGAAGAGGGGATACTTAGGTAAGAAGGTAACTGCATGTTGCACACACATATTTGGAAAGGAATCAGTTTCATTTTTGGGCTATTCTCCGAATAATGGTCCTAAATTATTGAGGCGGAAAATATACAAACAGGGCCTCAGTCACGTGACAATTGCGCACTTCCGCCGTCTTAAATTGCGCACTTCCTGCAACTTCCACCACCGCCGAGAGTATTCCCCACGCCGCTCAGGCAGCATGGATTGGGGCTAAACTAGATGGCTGGGACTCACGAGCAGCAGCTACTGCATCTCCTGCAGCTTCCTTCATTATGTTTGCCCGTGAGTCCTAGTAACCTAGTTTAGCCCCAATTCACGCCGCATGAGCGGTGTGGGGGATACTCTCGGCGGTGGCGGTATAGTCCCTGGAAAGATGTCTGCAATTTACATATGAGTCATATTAGGACTGAGGCCCTGTTAGGGTATTTTCTTAGCCTCGATAATTTGGGACCGTTATTCAGAGGATAGACAAAAACCATTCCGTGTATACTGTATAGCAAGGCAACCTCAATTTTACTTATGAAAATGTGTGAAAACATATAGTTTTATTTTGACCCATCTGTCATGAGATGAGCAGCCACCATACACAGTGGGCGAGTCGGGACTTGATATCCCTCGCGCTCAGCAAGATTTCAAACTTAGACCCGTTCGGAAAGGTATATAATCCCTTATATTGATCTATACCTTTGTCTTTTAAAATAGTAATTTCTGGACCCTCTAGTGGCTTTGATATATCTTCATTTTCAAACTTGCAACTGTAGTTTGGGTAATTCTAGTAGTTTATTTGAAAATTCCTGGAAACCGGTTTACTCCTTGTTCATGAATACAAGGAACTTCTTTCCTAGTGACGCGGGTTTGAATTTTAGAACGCCATTCTTTCGCCTGATCCTAAAGTGTCAAGACGTTTATCCAGTCTTAGTAGAATTTGGCGCATTCATAGTTCCAGTTCTAACTTGGAAGATTTCCTAAGCTTGGGATGAGACCTCTGTAGAGATCATGCAGACGAATCACAGTCCAGCCAACAACCACCAACCCATACCATTCTATGCACCAAGCATAACCAGAAGTCCTACCCTTTGTGCCACTACCTCAACATGGCAAGAGGGTGTTTGTGAGCTCCAGGATGAGTGAACATTTGCAGACGTTGTGTCATTCATCTAGTGAACCAGTCTTCAAGAGCTTGGTTGGGCTCTGAGATAGTTTTTGTGACTTGACCTGTGAGAGAGACTTGTTGAGTCCCTATGCAGTTTCTGTGTCCTCGATGGTGAGGAAAGCAACTGGTACCAGATCAACTAGAGGCAGAGATACCTGAGTCAACTACAGTCGAATCACTATGGACTGAGGGGAGCATCGACCTACGAACTGGGCTAAGTGATCGTTTAATCATCATCATGCTCTCTTTCCACAGCTCCGCGAGATTCCAGTGATGAACTCATGTACATCTCAAGGCAATCTGGCTGCTTCAATATCTGGGTGGAGTCATTGTTTCCTAGGCTTCCTCCCCTGAGATCTGGTTTACCTATTCACTATTTTATGTATATATTGTACATGCATAAATTTTCATGGTGGACTTGGGTGTCCCTATTTCACCATTCTAACTATCTAGCTTTGATGTTTGTGTGAGTAATAAGTGTTATCTGTGTTAACATGGTTATGATAGTAAACTATCATAACCTGGGTGCTATCTTTTTATAGTAGTGGGGGTGTCCAGCCAAGTGTGCCTAGGAATATTATATATTTTGTAGTGCCAATACGAGTTGCCCTACTCCTGAAATAAGTTGAGCGTATATTGGCCACGGGGCATCCCTTAGACGAATACGAGCCAACGACTCAACATAATTATTTCAGAGTGCTGTTGGTTCTTAAGGAGAAATCCTTAAATCAAGCACGCGACAGGAGGTGACACCATCAAAGATGTAAACAGCCGACACCAGAAAACCCGTAATTAGGTAATTAATTAGTCGGCGTTACGACATGCTTGCGCTGCGACAGCAATTCTCTCCCCCCCCCCCCCCCCCCCTTTTTTTTTTCGTGGGGCTCTGGAACCCCACATAGAGATAAATATGATTAAACCAGACTTCCCTTTTTAATGTAATGATTACCTCTGTTTATTTATCGATGCACATCAATTCCGTTAATTGTGTTTCTATTATTTACACATATTTCCACAAGACTTCTGTAGCCACAGCTGACCACAAGAACTGTTGTTTACCAAGTTCTGTTTATCCATAATATGTCCTTCTTTGTCTTAGTAAAATGTTTTACGAGTTTGGGTTGCAACAATAAAAAAATATATTTAAATAATCTTATATTTTTTTCTAAAGATTAACAATAATTAAATATCAAGTAAAAAATTATGGCAACTGATATATATTTATGAATAAATAAATTAAGAAAATGTTTTATTAATGAATGTGATGTCAAAAAATTGAAAATTGTTCCGTTTTCTTTTAATTAAAGGAGTATTTTGAAAAGTACAAAGCAATGAATCAGTATTGTGTTGCTGCTGCAGACGGGGAAAAAATAGTAATATTAAAGTTTAATTTAAACTATAATAAGAATTACAAATACGCAATGGGAGAGGGTACCGTCACAACACTATAGAATTGTCTAAGTGTTCAAATATACAAACTTTATCATTGGAGCCTACAAAATGCTAACATTTTGTCCCGTGTGTGCTAATGTTTTGGTTGTTGAAGAGGGGCCAAAGTGCCTTAGATTCGCCTGTAATTCCTGCCCGTATGTCCAAAACATCAACCGAAAGGTAGGGTTCATTTTACATTTGCCTCTAATCTTATGATGTAGTGCATGTTTTTTCCTTCATGGCATGTTAAGCAGATGTTAAAACTAAATGCTTCATAAACCTTTATTGATCATTCACTGCTAGGACTCACAAGCAGCAGCTACGCTACCTCATCTCCTGCAGCTTCCTTCATTTTATTTGCTCGTGAGTCCCAGCCATCCAGTTTAGCCCCAATCCACGCCACGCGTAGCAGCATAAGAGATACTCGTGGTGAAAGTCTGCAATTGACACGTGACTGAGGCCTTGTTAGAGTATATTTTGAGACCGTTATTCAGAAGATAGCCAAAATATGTGCTTGATCATTCGGTCATTCAAAAATAAACATAACATTAACTTTTATGAAAAATATTCTTGGGCTTCAAGGTAGACTGGAAGACTAAATTGTATAGGAAGTAAAAGCAGTGTAATACTAGACCTGTGTTTTACATCCGTGGCCCACTATTCATGGGAAATGTTTTTGCAGCCTACCTGAAGTGGTGGCCTGCGACACCACACTCGCTTGGCAGTAATAGTAATCATTTATAGCCGCTAACCGGGAAGGCTAACCCTATCAATAAATGCCTGCAGAAGTCGGATGTGTTGGCCGAAAGGTGCAAAAATCGCATCCATGCTGTAAACGGACACAGCACAATTACATCTTCGGATAAACGCAGAAGAAGAATATATAGCCGCTAACACGAGATATTGTCCTTATACCCAGACTGGACTGCAAGTTACGTTACGTAACCATTGAGCACAATAATATAATAGTTTTATAAACTTAGTTTTGGGAGATTTGTACCTGTTTGAGAGTCTCACCCTAGTGCGTTAATCCAACAGAATGCATCATGGAAAAGTTAAATTACCTGCCTGACCCCATTGCATAATAGACAGGCATTTTTGGGGCCTCACTTGGGCTTTTCCATGGAGAAAAAGGTTATGTACTTTTTAAATCGTAAATTAGCCCTTAATGGTAAGACCTACATTTTGTTTCGTTAATAAGATGCCCCCACGTATAAGACCGTAAGATTAGGACGATCCTTATTATTGAAGCCTAAATCAAAAATTAAATATTTAAAACATATTCTGTGTATAAGATAACCCATAATTTTAAACTCACAAAATTTAGGGGGGGGGGTATTGTCTTGTGCACGGAAAAAGGTACTTTAATAATAGGGGTAAATACACTGAAAGTCGTGGCTGGATGCCTGCCTTCTGATGCAAAGGTATTTGGGATTTGAACCCGCATTGAAGCGAATTTTTTTGCCAATTTGCCAACATTTTCCTTGGCTCCACCCCCCCCCCCCCCCCCAAGCTAAAATGAGCGCCAGCTAAAATACTGGAAATTAGAGGCAGCTAGCGGGGTGTTGACCACACACCCACTGAGTGCTGGTTGGTCTGTTATCATATGCCTAATATATCACTGTCATAAAAAGAATCCTTTAGAGGTAATACTCAGTTATGTGTGCATATCTGCAGATCTCTCACAGAGTGTACCCCAAGTTGAAAGAAATGGATGATGTGCTGGGAGGTGCCTCGGCGTGGGAGAATGTTGACTCAACAGAAGGTATGTGATGAATACAAAATATATGTATATATGCATCACATCTGACATGTTTTTTTACCTCTATGTTAAAGTTAGTTGCGTATCCTTTACAGGACGTTGCAGAACCAACCCCAACAGCCCCTGGCTGTTGTGTGGTTTCCCTAGGCAAATTACATCCAGTAGTTTGCTATTTGCTTTCTGGACGGTCGACTTTCTTGATACCACTGTCGAAACCAACACAAGGCGCATTGCTGGGATCTAACCTGGCATCCCGGCATTACAAAGCGAAGCGTTCGCATCGACTTAGCCACAGAGCCGACTTACCTCTATGACTTCCCTATATTATAAGCCTCTATTGCTATGCATGTGTTTTTAGGTCCTGGGGAATGTATTTTATTGAATGCTTCACTCTGTTTATGTTCATTGATTACTCTCTCTCTCTCTCTCTCTCTCTATATATATATATATATATATATATATATATATATATATATATATATATATATATATATATATATATATATATATATATATATATATATATATATATATATATATATATATATATATATATTCAAAGAAACAAAAATATTTTTAAAAGTTCATTAACAAAAATTTATGAGTAACCTGTGTACAGATTGTTGTTACAAAATATTTTTTTTTTCAAGAAATCCAAACAATGTCATGACTTATTTTTTTCCTGGCGACAGGGTTAACCAGCTTCAATCAAGTCATCCTATCCTTTGCCATTGCATGCAGCTCATCCCAAGTCCTGGACATATTTTTCTCTTCATTATCTTAATTCAGATAATCTGCTATTTATTAACTCATTACCTGTGTCTTCAAGATGTATGCAGTGTGGGACATGAGTGAAACAGGTATTGGATGTGGATTCACAGGAAGAGCATGCCATGGATTATGTTTGCACAAAGAGGAAAATTAAGAAGGAAATAGGCACAGAGAAGACCAGGATTCCAGACAGCTCAAGAGCTAAGCATGTGAGAAGATGAATATTAAACACATCATATGGCAACAGTAGTCCTGAAATTCCACATTCTAATTTCGAAAGACTTTTGTTAATGTGAGCAGGTCTTGTTAGTCACACTTACCATCGCCATAAACTCACTATCGCCATAAACTCACCATCGCCATAAACTCACTATCGCCATAAACTCACCATCGTTATAAACTTACCATTGTGATTCCCATACTTCCCTACAGCACGATATAACTTTATTTTCTGAAAAGGCAGGGAGATGCCAACAACAGATATCTGTCTCTCAGTGCCATATCTAACATATAACATTGAAAACGTAAAGTGTGTGGGTTAATTATTTAATTTGTTATTCCATCTGCAGTGACATGTCCAAAGTGTGAGCACAAACGAGCTTTCTTTATGCAGATCCAGACAAGGTCGGCCGATGAACCAATGACAACTTTCTATAAGTGCTGCAATATGGACTGTGCCCATCGCTGGCGAGATTAATTAGTTTGTAGGAGTGGGAAAGAGAGAGTGAGAAAGGGAATGTAAGAAAGAGAGAAATGGAATGTAAGAGAGATAGGAAGAATAAGAGAAAAGATAACAGAAAGGGCTAGATAAGAGATGCTGAGAGATAGAAGGAGGAAGAAGATAAGAGATGTGGAGAGAGAATATAAGAGGTGATGAGAGACGGAGAGAGAGAAGCTAAGAGATAAAGAGAAAGGGTGTGAGAGAGAAAGCACCAAAGAATGAGTTAGAGAAAGAAGCTAAACTAGTTCATGATGATATTATATTCAAAGCATTGATGATTATACATGTATGCCCACTATTTGTTGTCCTTTGTCTTGTTTTTCATTTATTTGTCAAAAAGATGTATATATCAACAGCCTGTTGTAATTATGCAACCTATAATCAAGTGTAAGTGTATTTAAAGATGGAGGATGTGTTAATACACAACATACATAATCAGCATGTTATTTATAGTCATGTTTAAAAAAAAAAGTATGTGAGGTCCAGTGAACCAAGAGGTGAAGAAAAGATGCTGGCAGTGGATAAGACACACGTAGGAAAACTTGAAAACAAAATAACTGAATGTTTTGCACTGGAGCTGACAGGTGCATAGAAATAGAGGCAGACCATAAAACACAGCAAACTCCTATTTAGACGCCTTTTACAACATGTTTTTTAGGGGCTACTCTGTCAATTCTACCTCTTTCAGGGGGCGCGGGAACCCACAAGGGGAACTCGTTGCAGTAACATGACTATCAGCTCTGTATAAGTGCCGGTGGAACTAGTCATCATGTTAAGCAGGAAATTTGCCTGGATACCAAGATCAAGTACATGCCATTGGGCGCCAAGATGCAGTGGACTTTGTTGACGGTAGGGTGAGACACTATTGAAAGGAAGGAGGCATACAGCCAGGGCCCTATTTAAGAGGAATGACGACCTCCTGCTGTTGGTCCTTACCTTCATGGGACTACGTGTTAAGACAGGCTAGTGTAGCAGTTACCGAAGGGCTGTCTTAACGCTTGGGCACACTAGGCACTTGCCCGGTGGCTTCAGTGCTAATTTGTGTACTTCAAGTGACTTGCCATAAATACAAATTCCATTTTTGTGTTTGTTTGTTGTAGGAACCCCAGCACACTGGTTTGCCCAGGGGTTCCATTATGCTGTTAAGACGGCTGTGCGTCATGGACGACCTAATAAACACTTCTTTTGGAGGTTGAACGGGGTACCTGGGATCTGTTCTGTTGGTTTGTCGTTCAGGTTGAGATTTTTTTTTAATTGTTCATTTCAAGATGGTATGGTAAACGTATAGTTAGCATCCTGCAGCACTGCAGTCTGGGAAACTTCTAGAATTGCAAAAACTGCAGAACACAACGCAGCTGTTGGCGAAGAGTCGCAATGCAGTGGATACCGTCCAACAGTGGAGTGCCTGGAAATTAGAAAGCTGATCAGTTGGCAGGGGAAAGTGCGACATAAGAGCAGCCAGATATACCAGTTGCATGCCACCAAAAGAAAAGGATCAGTGAGTGAACTAAAAATGACAGTGAAATTTATACGAGAGACAAAATTGTTGATACAGGCAACTTATTTCAGGTGAGCAAAAGAAGAACATGAATGTAGCATGCTGGAAGAGACAAGTGAACGAACCTCTGCAGTTGCTTACCTTCCCTTAGCTAGACTTCAGCATTACCATTGTCACATAATTTAATATCATTTCGATAATATAATGTGGCTTTCATAACTATAAAGCAATACAAATAGAAACATTTTTTTTAATCATTCATTCAGTAAGTCCTTAACAGAACGTCGCTCTCTCCACAGCAGGCCTGAAAGTCTCTTTCTCTAGCCAGCTGCCCAGCCCTGTGTGCTTTTATAGCCAATCCATCTTCTGTGTCCTGTATTCACCTATGCAGTGGTCAGCTTTTGTATCGTTTTCTGGAAACTGCACTCTCTATCACCGTTCTCTCCAGACCAGCATGGTGCTTGTCGAGTTAAAAATGCTTCAACTTTCAGGAGAGGATGCTGTTATGAGCAAGTTTTCCTTGATGCTCAGGTCATGCCGGATGATGTTTTTCTTCTTCTTGGTCCACGGTATTCTACTAATTTTTCTGTAGCATTTCAGTCCAAGAGCTACTAGTTAAATTTTGCCAACTTAAAAAATGTTGATGGCACAAAATTGTGCCACCTGGCAAGTCCTTAAGGAATCGCTTTCTACATGTTTGATTAGGGTTAGTAGGTGTGTTCTGTTCTTGCCCTGAACCCATTCGGGGATAGTCTACCCTAGGGCTGTTCAGCTACATTTACTCAGAGACCTAGAAAGATCATGAATACAATTGACAGGTGATCTGCGAGCTACTTGCTAGGCCCCTCATCATCAGCAAGTGCCTTGCTAGCTGGCTTAGGCATTCATACATCTCAACAGATCTCGGTCTGGTGTTCTAGATCAATTCCACTGATGATATTCCTCCGTGCCATTGTCCTAAGCCATCCACCATCATTTTTCTTGGTCTGCCTCTGCTACCAGTGATCTTTCCAGTTGTCACATTTCCCAGTGCTCTTTTTCTCATCACATGACCAAAAAATTTTGTCTCCTTTTCATTGTTGTATATAATGTTTTACTTTCATCAGCCATTTCCAGGCATTCATTGTTGGTTATTCTGACAGTCCAAGGTATTCTTCTCAAGAATACCTCTCGGTTGCCTCCAAACTCTTCCTAATTTGTTTGCTCACATTCAAATATTCACTACCATACAGCAGAACAGGCTCGATATCATATTTCAGTACTCCTTTTCTGATGTTTAATGAGAGTGATTTATTACATAAGATACTATTTATCTTCTGAAATGCGGCTTTTGCCTGGCCAATTCTGCTTTTAATTTTTGTCAGACATCGTCCATCTGATGTTATGAATGTCCGAAATTATTTGAATTTATCGACTTGGTTAAGCAATTTCTCTTCTATTTTCATGTCCAATTTTGGATATAACCCTTTTTTGATATTATCATATCATTGTTTCTATTTTCTTGACATTCAAGAAAAGACTTTTGACTCTGCGAGCCACCATTTTAATAACACTGGTCACGACCAGTGTTGCCACTTTTCTTTGACAAAATATCCAAAACGGTGTCAAAAAATATCTAAAAAGATCTAAATCTGCGTCGAAAAGATCTAGAAAAAACATCCAAATTGAAAAAGTCAAAAATTACATAGCTTTTGTTATGACTTACCCTACATAATCATGTCCTCACCTTCACTGATGTCTGCCTCACAAGATCCACAGGATAAACTAAGCTTGGATAATGAAGTTGAAGCTTATGATCCAAAATGACACTGGTATGCTTTAGCTGTTCAAATTTCTCTATAAGTGGAACAATAGGCTTATTTCTCTAGTCTCATCAGGCCTAATTTTAATGGCACGATAGCATTTAAGAGGTCAAATTTCATCCTGTTTTTTAGGTTAGATTTGATATAATTCCTAGTACTGAAAACTCTTTCTACGTCAGCATTTGAGTGGGGTAGTATCATGGCAGACATGGCACTTAAAAGAGCTTACAGAATGGACTGTTTGATTAGGCATCTTTAAATTGTCTCACTTTACTCCAAAACGCTTCAGTTTCTGTTTTGTTTGTCCATTCAGCTAACTTTATTTTGGTTAACTGATATTCTGCTTCCACGACACTATTATCAGTAGCCCCTAAAAATTTCATAACTTTACAATATTTAGGTATGTCCTTTATTGGGCGAAGTATGTTGCTCATAGAAAAAGTGAAATATTTTTCAAAACATCTAGATTTTCAGGAAGTCTCTGCTTCAATAATGAGATAAGGAAATCTTGACAATGTTTTTTTAAGTTGTTCTCTTCATTCTCTGTTAACAGTCCTTTTGTTTTTAAATCATCAATTTTGGATTCGATTTAATATCCAAGGTGTGGCTTAGGAGCCAAATAGCTCTCTATAGTGCAAGTGAGCAATTCAGCTTTAGAAGTTGGCAACACCAGTCTTTTACCAAGTGAAATAGCAAGGTGAGATCATCAAGTAATTTAACTTTATCAACAAGTTTAGATTCTAACAGTTTAATAACTTTTTGCACTTCCATTAGAATAGGTTATAAAAAGAGAATGAATGACACATTTTTTTCATCACTGTACATTCCATATAGTATTTCAGCTGTGTAGCACTTTTTACTTTGTCTTGTTATTTCAAAGTGTGTCTTCAACTTCAGCCATTGCTTCATAATTCTTTCAACAGCTGGTTAAATTGATAACCATCTAGTTTTGCAATCTGACAGAATTTTCAGTGGTGTGGAACCATCATTCAAGGCTGAATATAATGTATTGTATTGCTGTTGTCTGACAAATGATTTGGAAAACCAGTAAAGTGTTTTAGCAATAAGGTATTCCAAATTCCTTGGTAAATATTTAGATGAAGCATGTGATAATGCTAGCTGCAATAAATGACGCATACATTTTATAAGTATTAACGATGGGTTAGCTTCCTTCAACTTTGCATAAACGCCATTGTTTATACCAACCATCACTGAGGCATTATCAGTACCAATTACAGCCAAATTCTTCAAACCTAACTGTTTGCTGATTAAAAGGTCCTTCAGTTCCTAAACTATACTTTCTACATCACACTTTTCAAATTGAACTAGTCCAAGATTTTTTACAAAAGAAGGTAAGCAATTATTTTTTTTTTTAATCACATGAAAAAGAAACGCAAAGTCAGCACAGTGAGGATACGGTTGAAACAAAGTTAATATGATTTACGCGCGTTTTTTTTTAATCAGTACCGGGGCTGCCAGATATTTGTGCATTGACCCCGGTGAGAGTTCAAAGTTCAAGTAATGGCAGCACAATGTACGTGCCAGACCAAAACAAAAATATTGTAGTAAATATTTTACACAGTAATTATTAAATTGACAATGAAAGAAAAAAAATCTATAAAATATTTACGATCTAGCGTTAAAAACAGTATCTAAATGCAATGAAAAAAATCTAA